GTCGCCTCAGCTGGAAAAAGCAGGATTTAACAATCATATTTACATGATTGTTGAGTTTCAGAGAAGGGTCAAGTATCACTCCTAGATTAGTGACTCTTTGTTTCACTAACGGTGACAGAACGGATAGGTCGATGCAGTAGTTGGTGATTGTGTCATTGGGAGGAAACAGCATAACTTCAGATTTCTTCTCGTTGAAACTCAAGAAATTTAAAGCCATCCAATCTCTGATGTCAGCCAGGCAGTCCAGTAACGGTTGAATAGAGCGAGTACCGTTGAGTCTGAGGGGGAAGTAGATTTGGCAGTCGTCGGCGTAGAAATGAAAAGGTATGTTATGTTTCCTGAAAATAGCACCTAGTGGCAGCAGGTATAAAGAAAATAAAAGAGGACCAAGGATGGAACCTTGCGGTACCCCCCATTTAAGCGCTGCCGAGGCTGAACTAAAATCTTTGATGGAGACACAAAAGGACCTGTCAGCGAGGTAAGATCTAAACCATTCGAGGGCTGACCCAGTGATGCCCACCCACTGCTCTAACCTCGCAATGAGGATCTCGTGGTCAATTGTATCAAAGGCAGACGTGAGGTCCAGTAAGAGAAGGAGCACAGAATCACCAGTGTCTGTGAATAGGAGAATGTCGTTAAAAACCTTGAGTAGAGCAGTTTCAGTGCTGTGGAGAGGTTTAAAGCCAGACTGGAATAGCTCTAAGATGGCATTATCCTCTAGAAAGCATTTCAGCTGGGACTCCATTATTTTTTCCAGCAGTTTAGCGACAAATGGGAGTCTGGAGACAGGCCGGAAGTTGGACATGACTGAGGGGTCAAGGCTAGGTTTTTTCAGGAGAGGTTGGACAGCAGCATGTTTAAAAGATATTGGCACCACACCTGAGGCTAAGCTGCTGTTCAAAATGCCAAGAACAGGAGGGCCCAGAACAGGAAGAAGCTCCTTAAGGAGTCGACGGGGGACAACGTCAAAAGGGGAGCCAGATGGCTTCATGCCGCACATGACCTGCTCCAGGGAAGACAGAGAGATGGGCTCGAAGTGGTCCAGAACAGCAACACAATGAGATGGGATGGACGGATCACGAACAGGTGGAGAAATGAGTGCGCGGGTGTTTGCAACTTTTTCAGAAAAGAAATGGAGGAAGTTTTCACACAGCTCAGTTGAGGCTTCTAGAGGTGAAGGTTCACTGAGGTGTAGAACTGAGTTCAGGGTGGAAAAAAGGGCTTGGGGGTTGTGGGAGTTTGAGGCAATTATTGCAGAAAAGAACTTCGATTTGGCGGCTTTAACTGCCTTCTGATAATGACGCCAACTCTCCTTTAGGATTTGAAAAGAAACCTGCAGCCTGCGTTCTGCTCTCCTACACTGCCGTCTAACGGCTTGAGTGACGTCATTAAGCCATGGTTCTGATAAAAGTTTTGTTTTCCTGGTTTTAACGGGAGCAACACGGTCCAGAATATTTAAGCAAACAGAGTTAAGCTGAGAGGTTAGCTCCTCGGTGGAGAGAGACACTGAGAGCTGATCGATCCTCTCAGAGCTAAAAGCTTCAGTAAAACGTGCAGCAGTGAAACGGTTAATGGCGCGTGAAGTACGAGCAGAATCACATGACTTAGCAGTAGGACAAGGCGGGATGATATCAAACAAGACAGGCATGTGGTCTGAGAGAACGTTGTCACCGATTACCAAATTACAAACAGAGACATCACGTGATAAAATGAGATCCAGAGTGTGACCGTGTTGTTGGGTGGGAGCATTTACATGTTGGGTTAAATTAAATGAGTCCAACAAATCAAGGAAGTCCTTCACTAACGGCTTCTCCTGACAACAGACGTGAATATTAAAGTCACCAACGATAATAAAGTGATCATATCTTGGTGTGATGTAAGCCAGAAAATCAGAGAATTCACTTATGAAGTCCTTGGAACGAGGGGGGTGATAAACAATCGCACACAGAACGGGAGGGGAATGTCCGAGTTCAAAAGCACTCAGCTCAAAACTGGAGCAGGGCATGAGGGTGGACAAGTGTTTACAGGAAAAGTTTGATTTAAATACAGTTAATATTCCACCACCCCGCCGACCTGAAGGCCGCGGGGCATTAAAACACAGACAGTCAGGAGGTAAAAGTTCCACCAAGGCGCTTGAATCACCCAAAGGCAACCAGGTTTCTGTGAGAAAAAGAAAATCTAGTCTCTCGTCTTTAAAAAAGTCATTTAGAACAAGTCTTGTTGGCAACAGACCTTGTGTTGATGAGGCACGTCCTGATCTGGTCCGACACAGAACCAGCCATGGTGGGGGTGGTGCGCGCAAACGGTTGCAGATTTTCAAAAACAGCGCCTCCAGGATGGTCCAAGCGCCGGGCCGGTAGACAACACCCATATTTTCCCTGGTCCTATTTTCCCTGGTCCGGGCACGTAGGAAGCTGGCTGTGGAAACGTTGACCACGCAGAGCTTTGAGTTTTACCAGCCGGCCGGCACGTTTACCCCGACGTCTGGATCGATATCTCCGAGAAGGCAGGCTTGGGGCCCAGCGTAAACAAGCACGCACGTCTGCCAGAAGGGGTGGAAGAGGGGGGGATCCCGAGTCACGATCAAAATGGTCCGAATCAGCGACAGCAGATACAGACAATCGAAGATCGAGGAGCTGTTGTCGGTCATACACAAGCAGCGAGTTGATATCCCAGACAAAAAACGAAAAAAGCAGAAATAATCCAAACAGTATCGTCAGAGGTAGATTGCAGGCCATGTACACGGGCGCCATCTTACCGGAAGTTCATTCAATTGTTTATTGTTAATTAAACAATATTAAACAATATTAAATAATATTAATGCTAAAAGACAAACTTTTATGCCCCAGATGACAACAAAGATGTGTTTCCGTTTAACTTGAATTTTCAAGGTTAAAGGTTCTTTGTCGTTCCCATCACATGTGGTACATGAGGTGGAACCAAATGATATACTCAAGGTACCAGTTACATCCAAAAATATAAAGTATAAAAAGAAACAGGGTTTTTTTTTGTTTTTTTTTCAAAGACAAATGTTTTTATTCAATTAATTATTTCTGCAAACAGAAGGAATGAAGAAGGTGACAAACCTAGCACCTGCCAACACCCCCCCCCACCCCCTGGGCAAGATTTAGTGATTTTTAGTTTGCATGTAAATTAAGCATTCTGGTAAACTCCAAGAAGAAAATTAGGGGAAAAGACAACATGCTTCAGGTAAAAAAGACATTTACTAACATATCCTAATTGAATGAGGACAAAAATACGAAAGATGGCATCAACCAAATAATAAACAATAAACAAACAGCAGCAGCAAGTCAAACACAGCAGAGTATTTTGCTAACAGTAAAAACTCCTTTCTTAAATGTTTTGTGCTGACAAGACTTTCAAAAGCTGTTTCTGCTGCTTGACCATGTTCCTCCTTCATGTCCATTGGCTTCAGATGAATTTGTAATGTGGGGGGGGACACACTGGGGGGAGGGGTCAGAAAATTCTGAATAAAGTAGAAGCCATTTCCTGCATTCTGATGTACTTTAACGAGTTGTTAAACATAATAATAATAATAATAATGAATTTAATTTGTAACGCACTTTTCATTAACAAAAATCTCAAAGTGCTACAGAGTGCAACTAAAATCAATGATAAAAATCAACTAAAATCTGTGATAAAATCAACTAAAATCTGTGATAAA